TAATTCTAAAATTGTTTTCAAAGTAACATAATAAAAGAGATTTTCCTTTTTATTTTTTGAAAATAATTTTTCAATTGGTTCTAAGAATTATTTTTAAAAACAAAAAATAGAATAAAATCAAACAAATTAAAATCACCTAGTCTATAGTTTTCATTTGTCAACAAAATAAACAATTGATATTATAATAACAAAATCTAAGCAATTTAAGAGAATATATTTCAATTTATCTAATTATTTTGAAACTGACAAATTGACAATCAATGTTTGAATAGATAGACTTGTGTCATTTTGGATAGACTCTTGTTGCCTCACCATGACAAGAGATTTTTCTTCATTGTCTGGTACACAGTACTATTAAAGACCAAAACAAACTTTTAAAATTTGCCTTATATTAAAAATTGAAAAGAATACTTGCAAATCTGCCATTGCTTTGCAAGTTCATTAACCATGTTATTATGTGTTTTTATAATTAATTAAGTTAATAAGTTATATTATTTCTATTTTTGTATATGTGATGCCTTTTGAATTAGAACTTTTTGAGATGAAAGAAAGATCACTTGGTGTTTATCCTTTGGGGTCGAGGCTCTCACACACACATGAAAAGGGTAAAGAAACTTTGCTTGGATCCACATTAATACTATCATGGCTTTAGGGCTCATTTATTTAAGATTAAAAAATAAGTAATTTTTAAATAGTTTAGAGAGTTTATAAAAGAGATTTGCTTGGTAGAGATTTTATAAAAAAACATTATTTTATGTTTGATTACAATAATAAAAAACATGATTATTACTTAGTTATTTTTAAATTTTATGATATCTTCTTTAATTTTTCTTTTATAAAAATAATTTATTATTTACTTATTTTAAAATTTTAGAAAATCTTCTCATATCCCACCTTTTTAAAACATTATCCCTCATATATCACATAATATTTTTAGAAGCTACTCAAAGTATCTTTTTAAAATAATTAGAATTTTACTTTTTCAGATTCTGATTATTTTCAAAAGTTTCAACAAATAACATAAAACCTCACAAAATATTTTTTTTTCAGAAAATAAGTGAGTTGTTTTATAAAATAAGCTAAAGCCTACATGAAAATTAGTATAGATATCTTTTGTAGGGGAATTCTTGCAGAGATACTCAAGTTCACATATAATCTAGGTGAATTAAATACAAAAATAATTTTCAATCCTGAAATCACAGAAAACTTAAAAAATAATGGAAAAATGAATATAAAATTCCTCTAAAATATATAAATGATAATTTGATCTCTTAAAATGCCATAATTCTTCTGAAGTCCCAAGGAACTTTTCTGTCATTAGTAAATTTATATAAATTACCAAATTACCCTATTAAAAATAAATAATTTACAACTTTTCTTCTTATATTCGCAATAATACAGCAGCAAATTACAACTTTGTATACTAAATTCCTTATTTGTTGTTGCATCGTTATGAATATAAGAAGAAAAGTTATGAATCATTTTTTTAAAAAGGGCTATTTGACAATTTATATAAATTTATTAATGACAAAAAGTCCTTAAGGACTTCAGAAAATTATGACATTTTAAGGGACTAACTTGTCATTTACACATTATAGAAGGATTTTATTTTCATTTTCTAAAAAATAATCATATATTAATAATTGTAAATTTTTAATATTTAGTTGTTATTCCAATTTTATCCTTCTTTCCGATTAATAACTACAATAAATTGTTGTTTAGGAATTCAGGTAACAATAAATAAACCATGGGTAAATTTGGAAAAAAATTAATTACTCTAACTTCATCTTATATTAAAGATCAAAAAATGGTTTTAAAATTTTTATTATTATATTAATGGCAGAAGGGAGTATAATTTGTAAGTTTATAATTTGTCAAAATATTACTTTTTAATTGCAATAAAATTTAAATTTTGATATATCTCCAATATTTCTATATTGCAAGTCGATGCTTCAAAACCAATGCTTTAATGATAATTTTAAGAAATTAAATTTTTTTAGATATTATGATATTAATCCGTTTTATTCCTAATATATTTTTTGATTTGTTTTAATTTCAAATATTTGATTTTCCTATTAAATAACTTTTAGAAATATACAATAAAAAGATAAAAATTATATTTTTGTTAACTATAGTAGGAATGTAATCATTTGGCAAATAAAACCTACTTAGAGAACAATTAGTAGAGACTAGGTTGTAGGCAATTAGGTAAACATATAATAAAAGAACAATTAATAATAATATTTTATTTTGCATACTATAAAGGACTATATAAGTATACTAGTTTGGATACTTTCTTAATTGATACTATGTTTTTAATGCTTTTTATGTATTTTTTATACATATATATGTACGTATCAGATACATATTGAAATCCTATATTTTTTAAAAAATAAAAGTAAAAACATATCATATACATATCGTATCTTATTCACATACTTTATCTGTGCAGCATAGTGTGTTGCTAACACTTAAACAAGTAATTAGAGCCCATTTGTTTGAGATTAAAAAATAAGTTATTTTTATATAATTTGGAGATTTTACAAAAAGGAGATATAGGACCCATTTGTTTAATATTAAAAATAATTTATTTTTAGATAATTTAGAGGTTTTATAAAAAGAAATTTATTTTGTAGAGATTTTATAAAAAAGAAGAAATTATTTTATATTTGGTTACACTAATAAAAAGTGATTATTAGTTAGTTATTTTTAAATTTTATTATATATTCCTTGATTTTTATTTCATAAAAATAATTTATTACTATATTATTTAAAATTTTATGATGTGTTCATGTATCGTACCTCTCTAAAATAGTCTTTTCATCTACGACATTAGATTATTTTTAGAAGTTACTCAAAGTAGTTTTTAAAAATAATCAGAAATATTTTTTTTAGATTCTGATTGTTTTCAAAAGTTGAAACAAACATTATAAAAATTCACAAAATATAATTTTTTCAAAAAATAAGTGATTTTCATGAAATAAGCTAAAACAAATGGGCCCTTATTTTATAGAGATTTTACAAAAAAAATTGTTTTATGTTTAGTTACAGTAATAAAAAATAATTATTAGTTAGTTATTTTTAGATTTTAAGGTATCCTTATGGATTTATGTCTTATGTAAATAATTTGATATTTAATTATTTTAAATTTTTATATCTCTGCATTTTTATGGCATTTTCTCTCATCTACCCATCAAATTATGTTCAAAAGCTATTCAGTGTCATTTGTAAAAAAATAATTAGAAATCCATTTTTTAGACTATATTATTTTTAAAAGCTTAAACAGTATCATAAAAATAAAAAAATGATTTTTTCTAAAAGATTTGTTATCTTTTTATGAAAAAACAGCTGGAACAAACTAGCCCTGGATCGATTTTCCTAATTAAAAAATAAAAGAAAAAATGAACTAGCTTGCTTCTTGACGCTTCATTACCAAACAATAATTCACTCCATTTTTCCCTGACTTTAGTAACTACGCGTCATTATCTTTTTTAATCAACGTCATTTTCTTCGTGCATGTCCACATATATATATATATATATATACACATATAGCTAATTGAATTTTGATTTTTTGTGCCGTTCAAAACTGGGTGCTTGAGAGATACGGAGGGATTTTTTCATGTATTCCTTTTATATCACTTCACAAGAGCTTCCCCAAAAAAACTCCCAAACACTATCTCAATCTCAAGAATTGATCTTGTGGTGCTCAAGGACGGATGATAACGGTGCTCTAGCCACTATTATGGGTTTCTACTTCACATGACAATATTGTAACTTTTATTTGTTTTTATTTATCTCCGTCTGTGTGACCCTTGTTTGCTTTTGCTGTGAGAAATGGAGTGAAACAACTTCACATGTATGAAACTTTTTTTTTCTTTTTTAATAAACAAGGATATAACTATATATAATTAAACTACAGGAACAATACAATCAAGAGTAAACACAAGAGAACACAGCCACATCCCAAACAAATCAATTCACCCTTTCATCATTCATCACCTTACAACAGCAAAGGGGAGGATGGTCAAAAACATGTATAAAACTTCTATATCATGTTTCTTCATGATGTTGCGTCTTCACAAATTATGTTTACTTTGCTTGGTAGGAAAAACAAAGGATCATTGATAATTATTGACATTTTTCACTGTTCCCTTTTTATTTTATTCATATTTTTTTAACTTAGCATGAATCCACCTATATACTCAAAAGTATGCCATGAATGGGGCTAATGGATATCATGGGCCGAAAGCTATACCAAATGGGCTTGAATGGATGGAAATCACTTAGGCCATGGGAATGAGAATACAATGCAGAAAAAAGGTAGTGAGAAAGGGATCAAAGAATTTTGTGAAATTTACTATTATGCTTGTTGATTTATTTGTAGTTGTAATGTGCTATGAGACTGAATAATTATGGCTGTTAATTTCATTATCTTTGAGGAGGCTAATATAATGATATTTTCCCTGTTCTTCCCCTGCGTTCTATGTTAATTTTATTGATTGAGAAGGGTGATCATGATAGAGTACATATACTATTGGACACTACGTAATGTGATGAATAAAAGATTATGGCAATTTGAAGTTTTTTGTTTAATAACTAAGAATATATAGCATAGTCCAGATGGTTTTGGATTCAAGTTTCTTACAATATACTATTGCAAAAGTGTACAAGGAAACAGAGTTTCATTGGCATTATATAATGTTTAAATGATCACTCTCCAATTCGTGATAAAAGTTGTACGCTATTATATATCCCGTGCTTTTTTTTTTAAGGAAGAAAATAGTTAAGGGAAGAAGAATTTGAGAAACTGTATAGAATGTTTACGGAAAGAGGAAAGAAGTAAAGCAACTAGGTGCTTTATACTTTTATATTTGGGTAAAAATAAGAACACATATATATAACAAATAATGGGTCCAACATATTCTAAAAGTAGATAATCAAAAAAATGGACAACAATTAACCACACAAATTATAAGAAACTTAATGCTAATTTAGACATTATGCTGCTTGTCTACGCAAAAACATGCCCTTCATCTTGTTTAATGATACTACAACATCAATCATATTGCCACATGCTTTTGGAAGATTGGTGCAACAATTCAAGGCCAATTCAAGAACAAAAGTTGTAGATGTCAATATATTTTTTATATGATGTTGATCTCCTTCTAATAAATTGGAATCCATGACTTGAATTATTGCATGTGGCATTGACTCACTTACCCAGCTCTTCAAGTTCAATCCTTCAACAAACATATCTTCCGTGGGCCTTTTTCTTGTAAACACCTCTAATAGCATAATTCCATAACTATACACATCTACTTTTGTTGAAACAACTCCAAAAGATCCATACTCTGCATATAATTGAATTCAAGTAATAAAATAAAACTAATAACTGAACAAGACTATTCATTTAGTCATTTAGAGTAGATGTGATAACAAAGAATTGAGAAATAAGTTATGTTGTGCTGCCTAATAGTAGTGTTTGAATTTTTTACACATATATTTTTATTAACCCTCAAGATTGATAGGAAAATTTTATGATCATAAGCCAAAGAATTTTTATGTAGAAGAAACAAAGACACACCACCCCTAGTCCCCATATCCAAGAATACATGCATGCACACCCCATGCACACACATTTCAAAATACACATTCATCTTAAGGTTCTAATGTTAATTAGTTAAATAATTTTATATACATATAAAATGATCAAATGAAACGACATTCAACGATTTCTAAATTCATAAAATAGCTCTTTCATTTTCTATTTGAATAGAAGAGCCTATAATAGCTCTTTCATTTTCTATTTGAATAGAAGAGCCTATCTCATGAACAAATTAGAAGGAAATATCCTAGAACATTTCTCTATATAGAAGAATTAAGGGACCAAGTTTTAGGCATAGATAACTTTGATAAATTGTAATTTATCAATTAAATTACATATTTAATAATTGAATCAAATCAATAACATTAATATGTTTATTAAGAAGTCATGTATTATTTATCATAAATATTAATTAATTTGCCATGCACTAATTTAATATAATATTGCTAATCTAAATAATTAGTAACAATATATGTAATAAGCTTTTATGAATATAATATGTTAAAGATATAAGTTGTTAGAATGCAAAAGAAGAAGAAAAAATTGAGACACTATGTTTAGAATAATTACCAGGTGCCACATAGCCAATAGTAGGTACTGTCTCTGTGTTTGTCTTAGATTCCTCTTTACCTAAAAGTTCAGAAATTCCAAAGTCACTAACATGAGCAACCAGTTCATCATCCAATAAAATGTTGCTCGGCTTCAAATCACAATGAACAATTGGTGTTAACAAGGCATGATGGAGATATTCCAAAGTAGTTACTACATTTATCATTATGTTCAACCTTTGAAGAAAACCTAAAAAATAGTTGTGAGAATATAACCATTTTTTAAGGCTCCCATTGGGCATGAATTCCGTCACCAGAGATTTGAAATCAACATTGGAACAACAGCTTATAACCTTCACCAAATTGTGATGGTGTGCATTACACAATATGTCACATTCTTTTTCAAAGCTCCTTAACATTACATGTGAATCAAATTTAAAGATCTTAACTGCAACGATCAATGCACTAGAAAGTTTTCCTTTAAACACAGAACCATAACTACCCCTTCCAAGTATGTTACTCTCATCAAATCCATTGGTTGCTTCTTGGATTTCAAAATGAGAAATCCTTTTGCGCACTCCTAAAATTGATAAATCCCTTTTAACTAGACCCCATGAATTTTGTTGTCGTTTATGCCTTAAAAGGATAATGCCTGAGACAATCAAAATTATTGACACAACTATAGGTAATATGCATTTTAATAAAAGCAATATTGTCATTGATCTTTTTCTTGTTTCTCTTTTGCAGGAGGCACTTCAAATTGTGGCTTGCCACAAAGAGCTTGATTCATCATAAAAGTTTTAGGAGTCAAATTTTTAAAAACTCCTCCACTTGGAATCTCTCCTTGGAGTTTGTTATAAGAGAGATTGACATACTTAAGAATAATAAGTAACTCAAGAGATTTAGGAATCTTCCCAGACAAATTATTCTCAGAAAGGTTCAATTTTACTAAGCTCAACATATTTCCGAATGATTCAGGAATATTTCCTTGCAAATTGTTATGTGCTAGGGATAGATCTTGCAAATTATTCAGGCCACCTAGAGTAGTTGGAATAAAGCCTGAAATATGATTTCTTGACAAATCCAATAATACAAGAGCATTTAAGTTTCCAATCCTTAATGATACATTTCCAACTAAAATATTGGAAGATAAGTTTACCCTCAATATATCCTTCAAATTCCAAAAGGAAGGGGGTATTTCTAAAATTAATTTATTAGAGTCCCAGTAAAGGTCTCGCAAAGAGGTATTGTTTGCTAAACAAGGGGGCATTCCTCCAGAAAACTTGTTTCTACTTAAACATAAGTAGGCAAGCTTTGTGATTTCACAAATCTCATCAATGATTAGGCCATGTAGCTCATTGCCTTCAAGATTCAAATATTGAAGATCTAATAAGCCACCAATTGCTTTTGGAATTGATCCTATCAAGATGTTTCTCCCAAGGATAGCTTGAAGAAACTAGTGAGATTCCCAAAATTTGATGGAAGATTCCCGGATATAAAATTGCTTTCAAGATCTAAGAATTTCAAAGTTGAAATGTTAAAAATGTTCAATGGAATAGAACCGTTCAACTTGTTATGTGACAAGTCTAATTCCTCAAGCTTATGAAGATTGCCTACTTCCATAGGTATTAAACCTATATTAAAAAAAGATTAGTCTTACTGAAGTTATCTAAAGTGAATACTAAAAGTAGTGAATAAGGCAAATATATAACTAATGAGATGTATGATTGTTGATACTCCTTTTTATGCCAGGTTAATCATGTTTTACATCTTGATTTTTCCTTTCTGTTCATGTATATTATAACAAGATGGGCATTTATTTTTTTTTTTTCATAGATCCTTTAAATTAATTTTATATATATAATTCAATTTATTAAAAATAATTCTGTTAAAAAAAGATAAAGAATTTTTATTTATTCATATCATTGAAAAAGTTGACCATTTGAATCTAAATATAAAAATACAATCATACTCTCAAGTTTTTGATGTCTTAAAGGTGCATCCATTGCATACCATTTAATGGTTAAAATTGAGAAAACTTATCATATTTAATAATTTTAAATTTTCAATTTCAACTATCACAATCTCTTATGAAATATATTTTTAGTATTAACAAACAAATTAGAAACTAAAAAAATTAATTATATATCATTTATTAAACTATTTAACATATCTTCAAAGTTTAGGTTTGTAAGATCACCAATTTTATTAGGAATATTTCTTGTAATTTAGAAACAGATAAAATAAATATAAAAGTATAATGCTATGATTTGTTGGATGAATACCTTCCAAATTATTGTAATTCATATTTAACCATTGAAGCATGGTCAAGTTTGTGATGCTTTTGGGTATATGGCCTGAAAGAAGATTGACACATAAGGGACACATTAGTTAAAATTAAAATTGTCTAATTCCATTGAAGCACACTCCAACGTTAATTGATAATGCATTCAACATCATTATTGCACTATTGCTCTTTCTGATATCTCCCCCCGGTAAAGCTGGCTTTCTAGAGTAAACAGCTACTATAACATGTTCTAACTACCACTAGTTATCAACAACAGTTAAAGAATTAATCCAATGCAAAAGATATTATTTGAAAAAACTTTTTACTCGCAAATCTAAATCTATAGTGATAGCCTTTAGCGCAACAATAACAACATACTTCCTCATATTCTCATATAAAATATTTCCAAATTTTGCCACACTTTAAAAATGTTATTACATTGTTCACCTTGTTAGAAATCCAAAGATTCCAGTTTTATCATTTTTAACTAATGGAATGATTCTAGAAGAAAGAAATAATTATCAGAAAAATGATGCTCATTGGGCTTATGTCTCAGCCCAAGTCCAACGTCCCAATATTCTGTTACGGCATGACATATGGTATCAAAAGTAATGCTCGATGATGTACATTGTGTGACAACAAGACCTAGTTGTCAGCTAAACTAATCAAGTGTTTAATGCAGAGGTGAGAGCGGGAGAGATCGTAGCATGAAACAACATACTATATGGCAGCATAATTTTTAGTATCCAAGATCCTAATTTTAAAATTTCCATGATCTCCGCAGATTTTTTTAGGAATATCTCCAACAATATAGTAAAAGAACACAAATGGAAAATGAAAATGAAAATGAAAAATTCAATATATTTATTTAAAATGATGCATATAAAAATCATTTAAAGTGGGTAGTAACTCGTGGGGTATTAATCTTTTGCTTATTTAATTTGCTATTTTTCTTAAAACAAGTTTCTTAAAGGTTATTTATTTGTTTTTTATTTTTTATGAATATAATATAATTATTTGGTTAGTTAGAAAATTAATTTCATTTACATAAAAATGAAAAAAAAAGTCTCTCTCCTCCACTCTCCTCTTTTTATTTCTTTCTTAATTTTTATAACACAAAGAGCCCCCGCTGATGGCAAATATTATCTCTCCCAGGATAATAAGGATAAATGGTAGACCTCTTGTAAGTAAGTTGCTACATACACAAGAGTTGAGAGTCAAACCTCTAACTACTTGTTTAAGTGATAAGAGTCCTATCACTTAGTTATTATTTCATTTAATTTATTTTATTTTCAGGATATGGAGTTGTTCTCCTAACAAAATGACATTAAAGCGTAATTTATTTAGGGCCCATATGTTTAAGATTCAAAATAAGTGATTTTTAGATAGTTTAGATATTTTATAAGAAATTTATTTTATAGAGATTGTATAAAAAGAAAAAAATATTTTATGTTTGGTTATAACAATAAAAAAGTGATTATTAGTTAGTTATTTTTAAATTTTATGATTTTTTCTTTGACTTTCTATTATTTAATTTTTTTGTAAAATTTTAGGATATCTTAATATATCTAGCATTTTTAAAGCATTCTCTTTCATCTACAATATCATATTATTTTTAGAAGCTACTTAAAGTAGATTTTTAAAATAATAATAAATATGCTTTTTCATTCTAATAATTTTCAAAATTTTAAACAAATATCACAAAAAAATCATAAAAATAGAATTTTTTTTGCAGATAATACAATTAACGGAATTACTAGTTTCACTCAATCCAGCCCCCACTAGAATTTTTCTGCAAATTTAGATAAAACATATTTTAATTTAATAGCTTTCATTTTTTTTTGCTTGTACTTAATTTAGTAATTATATTCCTCTATTTATATTGGTCTTTTAAAGTTCTTATACATAGATCAAAAAAATAAAGTAAATTTTTACAAATATGACATATTTTATTAAATTTTCCACTCATTTAAAAGTTTTAGTTATATTAAATAAACGAGTTAAATTGTTGGATTAAATGAGGGTAAAATGATAAAAACAAATTATTGAATGTCATTTTGAAATTCCAAAAATTCTTCTAATATTCACAAAAAAAAATTATCAAAGAAGACCATCATAATAAAAAAAATACTACTTACCAATTTATTCATTTTATAGGATTTTATGGTAACAAAAATGAAAGTATTGAGGTTCTATAATTGAGGAAATTTCCTCAATATTTTATGGCTGATGGATGCAACTGAAGAAAAAGGATCTCATCTCATCTTTCTACTTTCATATGTTTCCAAGTCAATTCATACATCCCATGACGCAGAGGAAGGGGCACAATATAATGTATATATAATATAGGGTCTTTCTCAAGAATAAAATAGTCCTTGTCAATTTTAAATAATTTATATTTATGATTGTATTTTATTGCTATGATAAAATCATTTACAGCAATAAAACAACTTAATAAAATGATGATAAAGTTAATTGCCCGCACCGAAAGGAGAATGTGGGTCCGTCTCTAAGTGTAATTCTTATACCTCTGGTTTTAATATAATGATATTGTAACTACATCAAAAGACATTCTTAATGAAATAGATGCAAAATAATCAGAATGGGAGAGGAACACAGTAGAAGAAAAGATTAATGGATTTAATTGAATCGTGATCATGACGATAATACAAAAACTCTTGATTATCGTGTTGATTATTCTCATTCGTCTTTGTTCTCCTGTGTCGTCTCTTGGAAAATTGGACATAAGCACTAAAAAGTTTAAATGTTTGGTCATGAGTCACCCCAATTAATATAGAAATAAAGTTTGCAGGGAATCATGGTCCTTGAAAGATAACATGCTCCAGCAAAAATATATATCATAATATCCTTCCTTTTTTAGCACTCGTATCTAGAGTAAAGATTATGGATCTGAGCAAGATTATGGGTATAGGGCTATCAGGTGATTTGGGTAAATATCTTGGGATTCCCCTACTACATTCAAGAGCCTCATACAACCATTTCAAACCCATATTGGGTAAAGTTCAACTGAAGCTATCTGGATGGAAGGGTAAAATGCTTACTTTAGCTGGTAGATCTACTCTCATCAAGTCTGTTCTTACAGCCTTACCTAATTATCACATGCAAACTATGCTTCTCCCAAAGAAGTTATTAACTGTAGTTGAGAAAGCCAGCAAATCTTTTCTCTAGGGTAGTTCGGAAAATGAGAAAAAAGTTCATCTAGTCTCATGGGATATGGTGAAGAGACATTGTGATGAAGGTGGATTGGGGGTTAAAGATCTATCCTGCCAAAATCAAGCTTTTATGTTGAAACTTTGTTGGAACTTGGTGTGTAATAATGATGTGCTATGGGTTTAAATCCTAAAATCTAAATTCAAATGTGGCTCCAACATCGTACCTTTAGTTTGTTGGAGAAGACAATCCTCTGTGATGTGGAGAAGTATCCATAAAGTTTGGGACACCTTCCTCAATGGTATTGACAAGTGCTGTATTCCTGAAAGGTTATCTAATTTCTGGTGTGATAACTAGTCTGCTATGAATATGCCCTTGGTTAACTTCATTCAAAATAACAACAGACCCTTAGACCGTGAGATGAATATTGAGCACTTCATCGATGTAGATGGCTCTTAGGATCGCACTAAAATGATGAGCTGCCTTCATTACTCTGCTTTGAATCGAATCACTAACACTAACCCTGTGAGATGAGAGGGAGAGACAAATATGTGTGGAAGCCATCCACTGATGGCTCTTTTAATATCAGTTTTGCCTATGATTTTCTTTTTACAAGTACCTCACCAGGGAAGGACAAAATATGAAAGGAAATATGGAAGTAGAACATCCCAGAAAAGATCAAAGCTTTCATCTAGTTATTGGGGAAAAATAAATTGCACACAACAAGCTTAAGGGAGAAAAGGAGTATTGCTAATACAAATGCCTGTCCTTTTGGGTGCGGAAAAGAGGAGGATGCAATGCATATCATTCATGACTGTAGATTAGCCTAGGAAGCATGGAGATAGACAGCGAAAACAGTTATGGCCTGAGTTTTCACAACATGAATGCCTTGAATGGATCAAGTGGAACTTAAAGAACTCCCCAGGAAACAATAATATAACCAAACTCCTATGGGTAATAGTCTTTGTTTATACATGCTGGGAACTTTGGACAATAAGGTGCAAAAATCTGTTTAATGATCAAGCCCAACTCATTCAACCAGATTCCAATAGAAGTTTCCTCAAAGCCATGGCTGATTAGAAGTATATAGGTAAACTGAAATCTTCTTAGTTTGACAATATTTGCGGTAATACCTATCATAAGGCCTCACTAGGCTTTGTCAGAC